ATATATATATATATATTCTTTTAAGTTTTTGTGTATCAGTTAAAATTTTAAAATATGGATTTTGCTAAAAGCATATACTTTCTCTCCCACACCTGGCTTGAAGTATAGTTAATCAGTAGCTGAAAGATCTATTTTGAACAATTCAGAAATATAGGCTGAAAAAAGGCAAAGATTATTGTGTAATTATTATCAGCTTGTGAATATTTCATATAATACCACATTGGACATAGATTTACTTTTTTGTCTTAAAGGTGCTTTCCACTACAAATCTAGAAGTACACTTGTCTCAACTCCAGAGTGTTTACACCAAAAACGGAGCAGACGGCTCTGCAGTTATTGAATGTGAGCACTGTCTTGGGCAGAGAAGGGAGGAGCTCAGGTTCTCTAGTGTGATCCGGTACAGAAAGACCAGTGAGATCTTTGACAAGTGATTCCACAGAGGACTTCCTTTCACTGTGCGGAGGTGGGTGTCCTATGGTAACCTCCTGGGCTCATAGGGAAGATATTAGGGAAGTGCTGAATTTGGAAATCACCAGAAATTCCCTGTATCTATTGTTTTTGTTGTTTAAGTAGATAAATCAATTAGGCTGCTGATAGAGTAACTAGCTTGCCAGTTTCAATTTTTCAAAACTAATCTCTTTTGAGCTATATGAACACAGACAAATATAAACTTGCCAAAATATTTCTAACTAATTTAAGAGTTAGCTAATTTTAAACTAATTTTTAAATTTGAAGTCTCCCCAGAGTGAACATAAACTTTTAAATTAGGTCTTGAGAAAGGTAGAAAAATTTTACTGAGGTCTAAAACCAGAAGAGACAATTTTTTAACTCCCCAATTCCATCTGGCTTTGTAATCATTTGACAAAAAGAATTTCCTTTTGGAAATTTATATCTGAAACCATTCTTATATTGCATCTTGCCCAATATTTATACATGTTATGGAAAATTTGGTGAAGTTTGAAAGGAACCAAATTTTTTTAATTTGGGAGAATGAAAAGAGGGGTTTTATTTTTATGTCTATATTCTTATTTCCTTCAAATATAATTCCAAAGTTAAAAAGAAAAATGAATAGCATTGAAAAATCAGAAGTGAGGTCTTATAAACTTGGCAATAGATATTCCCTCTATTCCCATTCTAGGGTACATCAGTTGCTACCAATGGAGACAACTTCTTTCTAACATAAGCCGGTGAAAACTTAACTACAGCACACAAGGAAGTCTGAATAGTTAACAGATTCCAAAAAATTGCTGAATCATCATGCTCTGATAGGATTCTTCCAGAGAATTGGCAGAAGCTAACTGATGGTATATTCTTTGGTCAATGCCTTTGAAAACACTTAGCTCCAATAGTTTCTACATGTTTTTTCTCCTCCTATCCATAGATGCAACTTCCTAGGAAAAAATAAATTCAGTTGGTCTGGCCTGGATCATACACCAAACCCATGGGACCAGAACAAAGGGCAGGGGTATTGTTCTCCAAAGAAAGAACTGAAGTTCTTACCAGAAGAAGAGGGAAGGGAGACTGGGTGAGTATCCACTGTACAGTAGCAAAGCAGAGCCATCAGATAAAATTTTATTCCCTGTTGCTCCTTGAACCTTACCACCAATGTCAACATGAATTCAGGTAGACAGATAATGTTACATTAAGAGTCTGCTTCACTGACATAGTCTTTATGTTCTTTTGATGCTGTTGCATGTGTTCCCAGTGGAACATTCTTGAAGGAAAGGCACAGAGTTGACCTAATGCACAAATTAAGGAAAGTTCAATCAATGGTTAGAGTATGCTGACAGCAGTAGTACCTCTCATCTTTTTCAAACACACATCCATCATTGTCAGAAGAATCAAAAGAAGTTACTTTCTTCCATAATTATAAAAGTAATAGTGTACTCTATAATTCATGCAAATTCTTGATAAATTTTAATATGAGTAACTGGAAACTGGTGCAATCAGCATTCTATATATATTTAACTTGACACTGGGAATTACTGTGCATTTAAAATGTATGCAGTTTAATGACATAAACTGCTTCTTCCTGATTATAGTGACATAATGAGAGGGCTTCTATATCAGGCACATATTTAATTAAAAGAATGTGCCAGTAATGCGCACATAGGAAATTACTTGGATAATTAATGATAAACATTGACTTTGTAAACGATTTTATTTTTATATATCCCCATCCCCTCTCCACTCTACCCAGAATTCTGGGGTTCTTATCTTATTTCATGAAAAGTATTGAATAATAACGCATATTATTATTATTATTTTTAGGAAAAAGTCTTCACAATTTGGCTGGTTTATAGGCAGAAGTGGGTTTACTTTGAAGTGAATGAAATCTTAATTTCAGCATCCCTCATTTTTTTTTACTCTTTTCAAACTCTTGTAGCTAATTATAGTTTTGCCCAACCTTTCTTAAAGATAATGCATCAAATTGTATCAGTTTTAGGGCTTACTTATAGAGTTTGTCTATAAGTCTGCCCTACTTATAGAGTTTGTATACGTAACTAACCTAATTTTGACTGTCACTCCCAGCCACACCTAGTGTTCAGCCTGCATCAGTGCAGATTTGGAACAACATTAGATATCGGATGGTTTTTCATCAAGAAATCCAATAAACAGCAAGAATTTTGGTGGATGTGTGTCTTTTTTGTAGCGTTTCTTGCATAAATGGTGGGACATGTGGTGAAAATTGTGTGGGAGTGGGAGTCCTGCTTCAGAAATGTAAAGCATTACAAGAAATGTGGTAGATATTTATGTTCACAGGACTTCTTCCTTGGGCTTACCTCCACCAAGATGTTACTGCTCTATGCGTTATTCCTAATAGCCCAACTCATTATAATGAGATTGTTACTTCATCCTTCATCTCTTCCTCCCAAACATTCTTCTTTTTATTCTTCTTCCTCCTTCAGATACTCTTTCTTCTGAATTTTCACAGTGGTCTTCACAATTGGACTGACTTTAAGCAGAAGTGGATTTACTTGTTATGCAGAGTGGCTGAACTCTCTCAAGACTCCTACCTCCAACTTGCTTTCTCATCTGTCATAGGACCTAAGCAAACACGGGGACATTTAATTTGATTTCTGCTCTAAAAAAGACATTTTAATGAGTTTGTTGTAAAATTCTTAAAATGTTTTAGATCTCACTAATGTGACTATTAAAACTGTTTTCCAAAAATGTGCAGTTCCTCTTGAACCAAGAAGAATTTTGGGAACAGAAATTCACTAACGTTATCTTTTTACATGTGTGTTTGTACACTTCACCTGTAACTTATTACCAACATATGGGATTGTATGATATTCAGCCATGCTGCTATGGTGTCTCTTGACCCCTAGTCTTATTTAGTTGCACACAGTAAAGTCTCAATAAATAAATGTTTAATGTTTATGGAATGAGATTTCCATTTCAATTAAAAGTGCATATTAATATCCATATTTTAAATGTGGCTTGATACAAGAAGCTTCAGAAAGCACATTCACTGACTGACCAATTCCTTAGAGGGTTTACAGAGTCCACATTGGTTGGAAGAACGCGGAAAGGAAATGCAATAAAACCCAAACCAAATTAATGTATTTATTTTCAATTGAAGTGATTTATAACGGCGTATTTTGCACTAATTAATTCCTACTATGTATACACTTGTACTTTCAGAACATTTTATAAGCAGTGCTTTATAGGCTTTCAAATTTTCACAAGAAGATAAATTACATGGAAAACTAACTTTTCAGAGACTTTTACAAAAGTTTCACAAAAGAAAATACTGAGATAGAATATGTAAAATAACAAAGAATCGAATAAGCCTTTTTTTTTTAAACTCTGTGAATCCAGCTGAATATTATCCTGCAGGAAACAACAATTTTCAAAGTAGCAAATGAACAAGTGAATTATTTTTAGGTTTTTGAAAAGGGCTCTACTTTCTAGATCTTTAGGGCACCCAATTGTAATATTTCTCTTTAATTAGTACCAATTCTTTTCTCAAAGAGACAGATTTTCTGATTTCTGATTCTACCAAAGTATTCCCTTGGTATCATTTGTCACTGTTGTCTCATTTTTTGAGTTCACTTGGACTAAATTTTTTATTGATTAGGAAAAGTCCAGTAGTCAGGGACAAACCTTCTGATTCTTGTGCTGTGGGATTCTGTCAGGTATTTCTTAGACTAGGATTTGCCACACAGCCCCTAAACTGAGATGAAGGGGAAGAAAGCCACAAGGATGATACTGTTACGCTGTTGGGTAGAAAAGAGTATCTCATCGGGTCTGTGGAAGGGCTGTATAGTGGACCCACTCAGTATTTTAGTGGAGTTCTTATTATCAACCATTCTCTTAAACTTAAAAGACTAATTAAATCTATACTTAGAGCTCAATATCTTTATTTCTAAAAGACAAAATTAACACTGAATTTTTCATAATAAATTATAACGTGGTTTTGTTTTGGCTTAGCTTACTGAGTCATGAGATTTAATAGAACAAATCTGAGCTTAAAAGAGAATGAAACAATGTTTTATTTATATAGGTTCCCATGACATTATTTATTGTAATTTCATTTCCTATTCTGCCTGCAGAAATTTAGTTATTGTACTTTTTCTTAACACTAAACAAGAGCTGCAAATCTGAACCTAAAATATTTTTAGAGACAGATTGACAGGAACTGGATTTAGTGTTAAGAGACATTGTTAGTTTGGGACAAGATGTTCTGTTAATGAAGTACACTTGGCCCAGAATTCTGTAAAAATTAATTTTGTAAATTTGAAAGTAAATAAAGTGAACATAATAAAATTTTCCTTTTAGCTTTTTTTCCTTGTTATTACAGTTAAAAAAAAAACACAACAAAATGACAGCCACCTCAGTTTATTGCTTAACCTGTTGATGTACTTTATAGTGGTATCATTGATTTCCAATCTTCAGGCAACCTTTTCTTGCTGCTGCAAGTCCAAGCCTATTCATTTATTATTGTGTGTACTCAGGGGAGGGAGATGAGCCCATTGATCCAGCGGTGCTCCAGCTGGTAAATATTTGATGTTAATCCCCATCAGTAAAATTATTTAAGATTTGTATAGTGACAAACATTTGCATGCACATGTTGTGGTCTGCAGTATACAGTACACTTATTTCATCTTTGCAGAGTGGATTACTTTTGTGTAGTGGATTTTCAGTGTTGTCCAGATAGCTGTTATACAGCTAGATTTGAAATTCAGTTAATCTTGATGTCTTTTGGTATAAGGACTTGATCTCAACTCTTTCTCAACAATTAAACATCACTAGAAATAAAACTCCTGAAATATATTTGTGAATTGTAATCTGTATGATTACCATAACATTATGTATTTTCTCATGTTATTTCTTACCAGAGATCTTCTGCTCCACCAAGAGTAAGACTCTGCTTTTAAGTTTTTTACTACACCAATCAATGTTTTGCTTCACACCGTCATGGTTTTTCACATTTAAGTGTTTAAATCTTGGCTTTTATTTTGAGATTACTGGTGTTCTGGTTTCCTGTCTTTGAAGCCATTGCCATATTTCTAGCAATCGCATGCGTCCTGGGCCCTGGGACAGGAGCTCATGAATACATAGAAGTATTTGAGATAGGTCTTCTGGAACACATATCCTGCTGGGCTGGTTCTAGTCACCCAGAATTTTGACTTCAAGATCACTTGGGTTTTGGTTTGGGGGCTCACTCCTGCCTCATACCCTTGAATTTGACACATGGCTTCTATCTCTGAAAGCTTTGAATTTCACTTTTTTTTCCCAGGGAAATTTGCTCTGGCTATCTTTCTGGCTATTGCTATTGTTTTCATTCAAATCTAGGCATTCTGGTTCTCAATCCAGCCATTACTTGATCATCACGCCAGCTGAATGAGACCAGCAGTCCTCTAAGGTGGAAAATAATTGATTTTGTTTTTCATAGATTGCTACAAAACAGGTATAAGGCACCTATGTTTTGACTGGGAGGGGCAAACATTCAGTGTTATTGTAGCAATGTTCATGCTTTCATTTTAAAATTGTGAATTAGTATTAACTAGAGCCTTTTCATTAAAAATTATACATTCCACTGGTTTCTCTGCAAAATTAGTTCTATTATCTTATCTTATTGGGGAAGCTCTAGAAAGTCTGAGAGCAATAGGGTCTCTGAACAAATTTTAGCTTATTTGTGAAATAGAAAATTAGAAAACAGTATAATATTTTACCCATTACATGTTTAATTCATCAAACACATTTTAAAGAAAAGTACCTTTTTGTATAATTCTGATAATAGTTATACTAACATACTGTATAATGGAAGATGACATTTGTTTTAAAAAAATTATAGACCTCCACAGAAGAGGAGGTACTCATCAGAAAGACCTAGCTGGCCCCTCACCTCAGACTTCCAGTTTCCAGAACTGTGAGAATGCAATTTTTGTAGTTTATAACCCCCCCCCCCAACACCAGCCCATGGTATTGTATTGTAGCAGACCCCACTGACTAAAACACTTCCATCTTTCAGCTTTCTCTTAAGTTGGTATACTTTCTGCAGAAACTCCTGGGAATATGTCTTAGAAGGAAATTATTTCTTTGATCTGGGTTGAGTCACAGTCTGATACTGAGCCAATCAATGACAAGGGAAGTAGGTTCCCCTTTAGACCTACCAGGTGTAGTTTTGGTTTTGAAAAATGGGTTCAGCTTTTGCTGAAAGGAGTAATAAGTCTAAGATCATGTGAACAACTTCAAAAGCATAAGAACTTCTTCAGAATCTGGAGCTAAGAGTAATGAAAAATTGTTTTTATTGTAACTTTGGGACATATATCATAATGACATCACTGAGGAAAAAGTAAAAAGGAATGGATCTTCCTTGCTAATCCACTAGGATGATATTTAGAGTCCTGCTTTTGTAGAATAAAAAAGTTCAATATGAAATTTTTGGCAATTGTCGCATTTTTTTATTATTTTATTTAAAGTGATAAACTATTTTTTTCACTTAAAACAGGGTAGTCAAAATATTGATTCAGTGTGGTCAAGCTTTATATTAAATAATTTTAATAATTTGAGAATTTTACCTTTTTGATTTGAGCTTTAATGAACCCACATAGGAAGTCAGGGCAAATATAAATGCTTTTATTTCACACATGTAATCAGGAATAGGAAGACAAAATGATACTATTTCATGTCATTCTTTTGACACTTAACCCAGGGTATCATGTGTCTCTTTTGTGTGTGTGTGTGTGTGTGTGTGTGTTCTGTTCCCTCAACCAGAGGATACACTTTTTAAGGTCTTTTATGTGTTCTAGAGCCTAATATTTTAGGACTCAGGAAATGTTGATTATAAATGATTTGCTGAATTGTCATGATGAAAAAATCTTAAGTTTGAATCTTTTCTTGACAGTGATAGACTTCTGGACAAAGTGATTAATCTTTTGACTGAACCCAACTTGAGAGGTTATTTATATGCAAACAAACCCATTCTTTTATGAATACAGGCAGTGTGGTTCTTAATTTCCTTGTAATTTTTTCTGGCTATTTCATAGAGTTTCTCACAAATTAGACTATCTTTTAAATACACAAAGCCATTAAGATAGCAGAAAACCTGCAGATTGTAAAATATGTTAAAGTAGATGAAAGTAAAGTCAAATTCAACAAAAACAAACACACAAAAAAAATAGAAACCATGCCACAGATAGAAACAGAATTACACATCAACTTCCAATTAGGGCTTTTCTAGAATAGAAGAGCACAATCAATATTTGCAGTTTAGGGTAAGATAACAGTATCAACACCCACAAAATCTACCTTAATACATAGTTTGGGATATGAGAAAACAAAATGAATTAAGTAGAAAAATGCTGAGTTTTTGATACAGCTTCTTTTACAGGGTGAATGCCCCCTACCAAAGGTCCATACATAAAGACAGTTTTATTTTGTGGGTTATTTCTGTAGTGCTAGAGATAAAAGCCAGGGCTTAGCACAGGTTAGGCAAGTTTTCTACCACTGAGCTATATTTCCAGTTCCCCAAAGTCCACATATAAGGCTTAGTTACCTGGTGGTACTATGCTATGGAGCTTTAAGAACTAGGATCTTGTGAAGGTCGTTAGGTAATGGGAATTGTACCCTAAAAGGGGATCCTGAGACCCCAGTCTTAACTTCTAGCTCTGTTTCCTGACTCACATTATTGCCAGTTACCATCTTCACCAAAGGCCCACAGCCAGGAGGCTGCCTGATGTTGTACTTGAACCTCCCAAACTGTAAGCTAAATAAAGCTTTTCTTTGTAAGAAGACTGTCTCAGTTATTTCATTGCAATAACGTGAAGCTGACTAATAAAGCCTTCAGTTTTGATTGGTTCTCCATCGATTGAAATACCTAAATGGTCCATTTTCCTTCTTTGGCATTAGTTGAATTTCTTCATGAATAGCCCAGGATAATGAGCTAGAATATAAACCCAGTGGTTAAAGAGGTGGCATTGTACCAACATTTATCTGAGCTATTTGAAAAGCTGGGTAGTTTTTTTCTCTTTTCAACTTATTGAATTTCCTTTCATTCCAAAATTGTTTTTTGTCAGTACTTTAATGATAATCAAAGTTAACAGGATATTATAAACAATTATTTCAAGATATTTTATAGGCA